GATTCGTTCACCACCTGCCAAATTACGCCAAAGAATCACGGATCACTTCTTGCATGGTAGCCTTTTAAACATGCAGCTAGCATCACGGAATCCCTTCTCAGGACAGATTTTCTTTTGCAAAGTTTACTGGCCCACCCTCTTCAACATGCACTTTGACTTTCGCCCGCTCTTTGGCATAACTTTCGCGGAACTTTCGCGAAAATATCCCTATTCACAGACCCCGGCCATCAGCAGGGGGTGCACTGAAGGAAAAACGAAGACCAGGGGCCTTGGTGTTTGGCTCTCGCAAAGCCTCACTTTTGGAAACTTGGCTACTGCTACTCGCATTCTCTGGTGCCCTTCTCCTGCCAGACCTCGGGCGGCAGTGGGTGGCAGCCCTTTACATATAATGATTATAATACCCAACTTTCGCGAAACTTTCGCGAAATAAAATTTTACTTTCGCGAACTCGAAAAAAAAACTTTCGCGAGGGTTTCCAACATAACATGCACGGCTTTCGCGATTAAAACTCCTTACAAGGACCTTTAGATCGATCACCATATATTCATATATTACCCTCTTGTAATTTAACATAGCTATTGAAAATGGCCATTTATAGTGTGTTTTCCCATTAAAAATGGTGATTTTCCATAGTTATGTTAGTTTACCAGAGGGTAAGCCATCTGTATTTCCTTAGAACTTTCGTGTCTCAACCCCCGTTCCTGTCAGGTCTCCAAGGATTCTGCCGTTCCTCCTCTGGCGCCGACGCCCCAAACTCGCTGATCAGCACCGTGCGCAGGGCCGTGAAGCGCAAGGACTCGATGACCTCGGAGGTCCCTGGTTTCAGATGGGGGGCAGAAACCAATCCCGTGTGAAAATCGATGAAACACCAACTGAAACACCAAAAAAAAACAATGCTGGATGTAGTTTTTAATTGAGAAAACCAATTTCTATGAGATTGTTTAGGGGATTTTATATTGGGATGGGATGAGGGTTATATACCTGTTGCCACCCAAAAATGCTGCCGAGACCCATCAAAGACTGGAGATTTGACCCAAAAATGAGGATTCCGCGACTTCAGCGAACGTTTTAATTACTGTCAATGGGGATATCTCGCCAACAGAAAATCGGAATAGAACAACCTTGAAGGGAGATATATAAATATACATAAAGTATATAAACATGAATGATAATGTTCCCAGAATTGGTGGGAAAAACGAATAACACTTGAAACCTCATATTGATGGGAAAACATGGAAAAACGATGATTTCCCAGGATTAATAAACCAGCTCATTGCATACTTATTCATACAAGGCTGGGTATATTTCCTTGGCCCTGGCAATATCTGGCAATTACATCACGTCGAAATGTGTTTCAAACCGAAGGCAGTGATACAAGGCTGCTTGGTTTCTTCCCCGGCTGAATTTGCAAGCAAACGGCTTCTTAAGAATAGCGGGGATCTATGTCAATGTGCCGGCCCGTTTACTACTGCATTCTGCTACGGATCTTCCAAGCAGTCAGAATACCAATCACATGAAGGCAAACAACCGTGCCAAAGAAGATTGGGATAAGCTCAAAACAAGGAGCATCTCTAGAAACGTGGCCAGTGCCATGCAAAATCAAGGCAACGTGCTAAAACCCATGATCAGGCAATGCCTGATGAATTCCACATTTTTTTATCCAAATGAATCTGATATTGTGTATGCATATATATATATATATGATATATGTATATATTGGGAAAAAAAACATTTAAGGTCACGTTATCAACATTTATTAACTGTATGGACGTGGGTGATAAGCCATGAGACGTTTTTGCGCAGGTTCCGGTAGACCTCGGGCTCGCCGAAACTACGCAAATGGCCGGCGATGCATATGACATCACTGACCTTCGATGGGAGGTGATCATAGAAAGGACCACATCGGGGTCTAGGCAACCAACATGGGGACTTGAAACTGCGAAAAAATGTATGATCTGTGTGGTCTTAAGTGGTCATAGAGTCATAAGTAGTCTTTGGTACTAATGGTTGAAACCAAACGAAAGGGGGGAAAGTGTGGGCTAATAGTTAGGAATGGCACAACCCTATTGTGGGACTTGCTGATGATGGTCCTAAGCACTTCTATTCTGAATGGTTTTGTGCCTGTGGATTCATTAGTCCATGTGATACCCCAGCACGCACCCATGCAATCGCCATTGGCATCATTATCCTCCTTCGATTCAAGATCACCACCACCACCACCACCACCGCCACCACCACCACTATTATACTTCATCATGTCTCCACCGGCGCAGACCACAGGGTTGATAATTCAACTTCCTGCAAGTTGGACCCTTTGTTTTTCTTGCTAAAATAGTTCAACTTTAAGTGGAATACATCGCGTTTACCCATCTAAGCCCAACCAGGCCAAACATCTAAGTCTAAGTGAACCAGGGAAAAACAACCCGCCGGACCGGAAACCGTTCCCATAAAACGCACGTTTTTTTAAAAAAAATGGTGATTTTACCACAGTGCCGTGCTGATTTGATGATTGGAAATCCTGGAAAAACTTGGGGCGTGTTTTTTGGCTTTTCAGCGTCATCGCTGCAACGCATGCACCGTTATCAGCTGGCAGTCAGCATTCTTGTGAATGCATCTCCATTGCCAAGCTCTAGCATACACCATCAAGAGGTCACTTTTGGCACTCAAGTTGCTGGGAATTGACTTTTTCATCAGATTCCACTTTCAGCAGCGTAGCAACATGTAACGTAGTAAACGATCCCGGAGATCTCAGCAGCGTAGCAATATTTCATGTACGAAGTACAAGGAACGTTAACATGCTCCCCCCCACCCCACCCCACCCCAGCAGCAGCGTAGCAACATGTAACGTAGTAAACGATCCCAGAGATCTCAGCAGCATGGCAATATATCATGTACGAAGTACAAGGAACGTTAACATGCCCCCCCACCCCACCCCACTCCCCCCATCAGCAGCGTAGCAACATGTAAACGTAGTAAGCGATCCCAGAGATCTCAGCAGCGTGGCAATATTCATGTACGAAGTACAAGGAACGTTAACATGCCCCCACCCCACCCCACCCCACCCCATCAGCAGCGTAGCAACATATAACGTAGTAAACCATGCCGGAGATCTCAGCAGCGTAGCAATATTTCATGTACGAAGTACAAGGAACGTTAACATACCCCCCCCACCCCACCCCACAATCGCGATATTCAAAAACGTGCGTTTTACGGGAACGGTTTTCGGTCCGCAGGCAAAAACAAGCACTTCCGATTTTGCATGGGTTGCAATATGTTGGAACATGTGATAACTACAATCCCTCTTGTTGGCATATCCTCATCTCTCTCTACTTGGGGATATGCTGCAACCCAGGCAGTCCAGCACGGCACGCCTCCTGGGAAGCATCCACCTTCATTTCCAGCTCCTGTCGCGCCAGGTCGTAGAGCTTCTCCTGGCAGTTCCAGGTCCGTGGTTCCCATCTGTTGATGTTGCAAGACACCGAGGCCATGAATCTCATGGATCTACCCATTTTTTTGGGAGGGATGGTCATGTTGAATGGCTTTCTATGCCCACGTTTCAGGTGGATCGGCGCGGACCTTGTGCAAAGTGCCTTGCAGCAGCTGTGGGTCACCTGGTGGACGCGAAAGCGTGGCTGCCAGCGTCTCAGCATGTCGAAAGATCTCCTGGCAACTGGCTGAGCCAGCGGCTGGGCATCAGCAAAGATCCAGGAGGATCTGATGTTTTTCCACCACCCCCCCTCTCTCTCTCTCTCTCTCTCTAAATATAAATATAAATATAAATGAATAAATATATATTATATATTTATATAATTTATATATGTGGAGTGCTAGAATACTGCAATTCCAATATGCAATTAATTCTAGAGTTTGAGCTGCAATCAACATATCTGATCATATCTGTAGAAATTGTGACCACGCATGGTTGTAGTTCATGGCGCAACGCTTCCCTGCACTTGGTCATGGCTAATTTGGGTTCTACACATCTATAAACATATGATGTATGAACATAAATAATATATAGGATTAGTTTTATGTCCATAATGTTTGATGTCCACGGCTGCCACTGCACCTCGTGGTTCACGAAGTCGGGCCCACCACGGCGGAGGTACACCACGAGCAGCGGAACCAGGAGCCACTGGACGGCAAAGTCTTTGCATTTGCCCCGCGGGATGCACAACCCAAAGGTGACCTGGTCGGTGAACGGGACCGGGGAGAGCTGGGGGGGTTCAATGGTGTTTTCAACGGTGTTTTTTCACTGGTTTTCAATGGTCTTCACCGTTCTCAGGCCAGGTTTTCGTCCAAAGGCATGGTGGCCTTTTTTTTGAGGTGAACATTTACCATTGGAATTGCCACTCTTTCAGGAGCAATTCAAACCAATCTTGGTAAATGTCCCGTGCCATGGTGAACATCACCTTGAAATGGGACATTTTTCTGCCACGCTGCCACTCTTGCATACCACGCATCGATGTTTCAATCTTTGGTGCGTAATATAGTTATAAACATATATATATATTTACATATGCCATAGTCCAAGACGTGTTTGCCCCTATAATTCTACAACAATCCCTCATAAATAGTATAGAATTATATCACCAATTACATCACCATTGTCTACAATCTATAGTATACCATGTCATCCCCTCATAAACCAGTCAGTATTTTCACCAATGACAATGGTAGTTCAACTAGCTGAGTAACTAGCTGGGATGGGACATCCCCATTGAATCATCTTGCTGGTCAAAATCCCATGGATTTATTTGCCAGGCAGAAAGCCAGTCAGAACCAGTAACAAGCCCTATAAAATCACTACAAAAATCCCTATAAAAACTGCACAAATCCCACCAAATCCCTGTATAGACTCTAATTATCTCTAATTCATAAGCTTTAAAAACCATCTAAAAACCATAGTTACCACATTTCGTCCCACCTCGTGGCCACTCCAGGGCAGTCCGCCCTCGATGGGCCAGTGGCGCCCCAAATCCACCGCGTCCAGCCGGACCTCAACGTAGCGACCTTCGTAGAAGCCCGTGGTGCACCTGCAAGGTGTGCCTTACCCTCTGGTAATGACTAACATAGCTATTGAAAATGACCATTTATAGTGGATTTTCCCATTGAACATGGTGATTTTCCCATCAGTTATGTTAGTTTACCAGAGGGTAAATTCCTGGAAAAGATTCACCAATCACTGGATTGGTTTAAGGGAAAATCTTAACCGGAAACCATGGATTTTACCATCAAATTGGTTGGGCTTTCCGGTTAAAATTTTCCCATAATCCAATTATATATATGAACCAATGGTTAGAATGGATCATCAATATGATCACTGAGTCACTGGTTGGTGGTCTACCTACCCCTCTGAAAAATATGAAAGTCAATGGGAAGGATTGTCCCATATATTGTGGAAAAATAAAACAGGTTTGAAACCACCAACCAGATAGTGATTTGATGATTTTGATGGAGATTTGGGGATTTTCTGGTGATTTTCTGAGTTTTCTGGTGATTTTCCCAATCTTCCCAATTTGAAGTTGGAGGCATCAATCGACTGGGTCCCGTATAATTTTAATGGGCTATCCAATGGTGCTGAGAACATCGACCAGAAAGCCTGCCAATGGACCTCCAAATATATGGGCTTCCCACGGATTTTGCCAATAATTTTGGCAACCATCCATGCCAAATCTCCAAATGTTGTCACGAACGCATACCATCCATACCGCACGTAAAATAAGGCCTGTATGATTATATATATATATATATATGATTATATATATGTGATGTATTTTGACCAATGGTTTGAATCTGCCAAAAACTATCTTCACGATTCTTTACACAGTGGCTTGCGTAATTGCACACATGTGGCCTTTCAGACGCGGGATTAGTTACTACTCAAAATATCTACGGTATTCTATGTAAACTAAGAATGACAAATAGCTGTGGGGCCCAAAACTGTCATATTCTTTGACCCATCCCCATATCATCTGCATCGCTCATCATGGGTAGCATTGGGTAGCCTTAGGCGTCCTGAAGACAAGTGACGATAAGTGACGTGACTAAATAGTTTCACTATTTTGCGGGTGCGCCATGTTTTTTTTCATCTCTCTCTCTCTCTCTCTCTCTCTTCTTTCTCATTCTGACCCCCTCTCTGTAGCACACATGGTATGCAAATATATGAATATTGTACACATACACAGCGCCATAGATTTCATCTAAAAATATACAGCGCCATAGATTTCATCTCATTCTAAAATACATGGAGGTGTCCAATGTAAGTCATGGGGGGTACCCCCAAATCATCCAATGGTCCAAGTCATGGTCATCTTGACGGCGAAGCCAGCGCTACCTGGTCATCTGTTCCAAGACATCGGCCCATGAGGCACCTGGCAGTACTTCTGGCAGCTTGTTTTTGGTTGAAATAGCTACAAGGTGGTGCCCCATAGTCGGTTTAAGAAGGGTTAACTAGGGTTTATGGTAAGCATATCTTTTGCAACATTTATAGATATCCATGAATGTGACATTTCTATAGTTATTGGAACACCACCATTTCAAAGAAAAGGTTAAGAATCTAACTAAATTGGCCATGACTGCCATTGCCATGACTGATTCCTGGAGGTTGTACGGTTATACCTTTAAGTGGGGCTCAGATTTTCTAGGAATCATTTTTTTTTCAAAGGAAGGACGAACAAATCCTGTGACACCAACTCGGGTCTTTCCATTCTTAGCCAGGGTGAAAACGGGGTAGAACAATAAACCATGGTTGTCAATTGACTCACTGGGTTCTTCGAGGTTGGTCAATGATTCCAATGATTCAACCAGCGGTGCTTTTTCCTCAGTGTCATCCAGTTGCTCAGGATTACATCACCGCTCATGGTCATAGCGATATATGATATATGGACAGTCCATATTCCTCAGTGAAAACCCTTCTGAAAATATAAACTGTTTGGTGGTAAAACAACCCCTCGGAAAAATATGAAAGCCAGTTGGGATTATGAAATTCCCAAGATATGGAAAAATGAAAGCCATGTTCCAAACCACCAACTAGTAAGTATACCCAGTACCTTGCTGACGATCTACAGTAGATTGAACCGTTGAACCTAATCGCTTTGATAATTTTTAGGCTCCATAAAAATGATATTTGAGAGATGGAATTTCACAGGTTAACCACTACATGAACTGGCACATTTTACAACCAGATCATTGAACGAGCTCATTAACCAGATTGACCATGATTGACCAACATCAACCCCTATATCGGGGCTTATATGCCCCTTCTGTTGGGGGGTCCAACATCATTTGCGGCTCAAATGGGCCATGGACTTATCTAAGTGGTGATCGTAAGTGAGCTATATCTGGATAGTGGTTTCAATGGCTCATAACCCACTTATCAAGCAACCAGTTGAGCTATGGAAACTACGCCGGTCCCATCGAAGTGTAATTGGTGAAGTGCAATTTCTTAGTTGGATGGTACCTTTTTTTTGTGCCTCAAACTAAGGAAAACCCCCATATACACCGACTCATATTGTTGGCCGGGTAATTAGATACAGTAGTTACAGTAGTTGGCCAGCTAGTCTGTTAGTTCGTTAGTTAGTTATATCCCATGTGACAGTCCATTATATCCACATCATGCCACTAGTTGGCTAAATTCCACATTTCTGCTGGTCAAAACCCCAATTCCCGTTAGTTAAATCACCATGTGTGTTAAATCCAGGGCTTAAATCACCTTTTTTTGTTGCTTAAATCCCCAATGTTCTGCTGGTGAAACGAGCATTTCTTGTTAGTTAAATCCCATGTTTTTGGTTTGTTAAACTGTTAAGATCTATTAAAAACAACCATTGTTGTTGCTTAAATCACCACCATTTTCTGATACCCTCTGGTAAACATACAAAAATCTGATGGGAAAATCACCATTTTATAGCTGGGAAAATCCACTATTTCGACTGGGACATTTTCTATGTCGCAAACTGTTAGTCACCAGGTGCCAGGGGGCATTTTCTGCTGAAACATGAGCCTATCAACCTATCAGATCCCACATCGCCACGTCGCCTGGTGCAGGTGGAAAGACCTGGCCACTGGCGCTGCAGGCGCTGTCCTCCTCGGCACTCAGACCCTGGGGCGCCGGCCGCGCCCAGCGGCACTGCCTACAGGAGAAAAGGCAAAGAATGGGTGAAAAAATGTGAAAAAAACTATCATGGATAGGTATTTCTCTGGTAAATCTACATCTTATATCATCTTATATGATAACTCTACATTATATTTATATATATAGAGAGAGAGAGAGAAAGAAAGAAAGAAAGAAAGAGAGAGCTATGTACATATACATATATAGGTATGTATATATATATATATGTGTGTGTATAAAATTAGATAATGCCCCATGTAATATTAGCAATTTGCTGGGTGGCGCCACTTTATGAGGATACCCCTAAGAAAAATGACAAAACCCCTGGTTGGGGCGTATAAAATGATAATTCCAAAATGCCTTTTTTATAAAATGACAATTCCGAGTGCTATAAAATGTGAGGTCTCTCGATTTTCCTTAAAAAAATGAGGACTTGTCAACAATTTATAAACGCCCGGCCAGAATAATTGCATGTCGGGACCATTTTTCGGAATAGACAGGAATAGACATTTTATAAACCGATCACCGGCCCATGTTACAAAAGAAACACTACCAAGACCATTTTTGGGTATATGTCCTTTCTCAATTTTCAAATACAAACAATGCGTGTTATAAAATCATAAATTCATATAAATGTGTATAAGTGAAACTTATGTTTTACACACATGCATTTTACTGATGAAATCTTAAAAACTCGCCAAATGATTGTGCTTCATTGGGTGTACAGTAAGCATCTTGCAGTTCATAAGAGGTCACAGTTTAATTGGTATTACAATAAGTATATTGTAAAATGGTACCTGCTCAAAATTCTTATAAAATTGCATTCCATGCCATTGTAAGCAGTTGAAAAATGAATCATCATTTTATAAGGAAAAAAGAATAAGAAAAATAAGAACAACTATTTTTTCTGACCCAGGGTCAGGTGTTCTTCTTGTTCCAATTATTCATATCATTTTATAGCCTCAAAAAACTGGGCTAGTTATTAAAATGACTAGTTAGTCCTCTTTTCGGAGGCGCAAGTCATAAGGAAACCAGGTTTTGCGGTCCCAATTTGAAACCATGGGTACCCTCATAAAATGACCAAAATGACCCAAAAAAGCGAACCCCAGGTCTACCCACTCCATAGCGGATATTACGAGGGGGATTGTAGTTGCATACGTATATATATATATATATATACATATGTATATATATATATATATGTGTGTATATATATATATATACACATATTCAAAACACATTTGTTTGTGCATAATTATATGGAAACTTATTTTAGCTGAGAGATCTATATTCTGAAGTCATTTTAGGTCTAATTTTGGAGATTTAGACCCAAGCAAATTCGCGCTCCTGGCCCACCAGCCGAAGCAGTTGGCATCCGCTGCAGCCTCAATTGGGTTTGCTAAAAATGGCAATCGGAAATCCCAACCTGGATAGCGTGCTTAATATAGAGCCCCAGTCAGTGGTGGATGAATTTGGGATTCAACTGGTTGGCTCTGATTCAATCTCCATTTCTGATCATTTCTGTATGTTAATTTAATACATTCCCTCTATCATTTCTGTTGGTATCCTGTTTTCCTCTCTGCTAGGTCTGCTAGGTCAGGTGGCAATCCCTGCGGCTCTCCATGGAAGTGCCACCAAGGCGACCGCACCCATGAGCCACGGCTGCCATGGCGAAACATTGCTGGTTGGTGGTGCAATAACCAGCTTGAAAAATATGAGTTCGTCAATGGGAAGGATGACATCCCATATGGAAAATAAAAAATGTTTGAAACCACCAACTAGATTGGTTTACTAGGTTGCAGTTGTTGCTCTAGGTTTTGGTATGTTTTGGTTTACTGATGTGTGCTGTTCCTGTTCCCGCTTGCTACCGCACTGTTAGCCTTGTGCAAGGTCTGGTTCGGTAAAGTCAAGGCGCAAAGCTGGGGTGGCTTCTCCAAACCTATCTCCAAATTGTCCATATTTGCAACATGAGACTACTTCGTTCGGCTTTGCAGGACATGAATCACACACGAGGCGAACGAGTGTACTTCACTACAGACGACCAACCCTTAGGCCCCAAAAGCAATTGTGGGTTTGTCCAGGCATGGGGTAAACAGGTAAACTCCAAGACTGCAATTTTACAAACGAAAAATGATGATGATCATACGATGATCATACGAAAAATGATGGTGCTCCAGCTATTCTGATAAATCCAGAAACAAATCCAGCATTCCTGTGACAATAACGCAGTTTTTCGCCCTTCAACAGCAACCAATGCTCTTCTGCTTGCGACGCGAGGGTCCTTTTCCTGGGTAAAGTTGCGACCAACATAGCAGGTATTTCATTCATGTTCAGCCCCTCATTGATAAAGAAAATCATGGGTTGCATGGCCCTAGCCGCTTGGGCGGATTTACTTCAAACAAAACACACCACAGAAGCTCCGCCTCCATTTCTGGTAGGTGCAAACCATCTTACCCCAGTAGGTCACATTGTACCCCCCCACGTAATACCCCCATTGTATCCCCATCAAATCACCAATAAATCCGTGGCTAATCCCACTACATATCAAAGCAACACATTATTGTGATGTGTAAATATATGCATATATATATATATCTCTCTCTCTCTCTTCCCATAATTGTTATACAATGATTGTTAACACACATTTATATACATATATATATATATACATAACAGACATGTATACACAGATATTCTCCCATATATTCCCCATGATACCACATGATACCCCATTGTATCCCCCCATGGCAGCTGCAGCTTAGCCACCACGTGGGCGAAGTGCCGCCGAAGGCTTCGTCGCAGTGGTCGCGGCTTCCTCTGAACTCGGGGCGCTGGAGGTGTTCGACGACTCCTTGGGGGCAGCTAAGGGATCTAAACATTGGATTAGTTGAAGGGAAACCTAGAGATCCTAGAGAAAACCTAGAGGAAACCATGGTTTTAATTTTTTACCATGAAATATAAGGTGCTCCTCTGAAATATAGGGTTTTCCGGTTTTCCTGTGAACCAATCCCATAATTTAAACCACCAAAACATGTGTAAAAGGATTGGTTTACGGGAAAATTGAAACCGGAAACCCCCATATTTCATGGGAAAATACATGGTTTCCTGGAGATTTTCCCATAAACCAATCCATTTTTTATGTTGAAAAATATGGATGGAACCTATGAAAAATCGATAACATTGATCATTGGAACTTTTAAGCAGCAAGAATGGGGATTTGACCACCCAAAAGTAGGAATTGAAACATCCAAAATGTCATCCAAAAATATCCAAAATGCGGAGTTGAAGCGTCAAACATAGGGACTTAGCATGATTCAACCATCAAACTTGATGAAACGCAGAAACATCAATTGGACATTGGGACATACCATTGCCATACACATCTAGAATATATTACATATATAATACGTATAAGTATATATTTATTTAGGATTATATCTGTGTGTGTGTTTGTGTCTGTGTATAGATCTCGTGTGTTCGTTAACTTGCCGGAGGGCGCAAGTGCTGAAACCCCAAAAAAGAGTGACTGCTTGCTGGCAAAGGGTTGCTATAGCAGCCTGGCCCTGCCAAAGAAAGAACCATAAAGCAAAAACAACTGAAGCACATAAATTCAAAAGGGTTAGTGTCACCAACATCATCCAACATCATCTGGTGATCTACTGATTTAACATGATTTTCTACAGCAAACCTCTTAGATTACCATAGGATGTCATCATCCAACAGCGACCGGCCAAGCATCAAAGCTCTCTTTCTGTCGAGCCGCCAGAGGCAGGGCGGAGGCGCCCTATCAGACAGGACGTGGCCAAATCCCCTGCTAAGATCGTCTAGTTTTGTTCGTGGGACGAGTCAGGATAAGTGGAAAAAACCATCTAATCACCAAAAAAAAATGTGAAAATCGATTTCTATGGTGAAATTCCATCCATTGAATTTGTTTCCCACATTTTGCTTTGGATGCTTCAAGAGTAGAACTCAAGAAAAAACTGGAGAAGAAAAATCTTCCCCAAAATGGGTGGAAACTATTTAGCGGCTCTATGCTTCTTCATAGCTATCTTCCCCTGTGCAATTGACCCATTTATGAAAAATGTTCTAGCGACATATCCATCAATACTTCCAAAATGTAGCCTAATACCAGGGCCAAAAAGGTCTTAGCGTGGTCTTTGGCGGGTCCATGTTTGATGATTGCCTTCCTGTTGGGTGATTTTGTAGAATTGACTAATTGCTGGTTTCAGGAAATTGTTGGTCTGTTGCATCCCTGTTTTGTGCTGGTTGCATGCTCAGAATGCTGCTTCAGCCTCGGTGAAAACTCCTCCCAGCAGATTGCCAGTGGCTAAAACCTTCCCCCGTTTTCGCTTGGTCAAACGTCAAACCCACCATCTTAGTCAAAAAAATGATTGCCCCCAACAAGAAACGCCCCCAAGAGAACCTGGTTTAGCACTCGTTCTGTTCATTTGGGGTCCCATCTAGTTGGGGTGGCTTATGATTTGGGAATCGGGTTTTCGTGTATCCACATTCGAAACATTGAAGCCTCGAAATCAACTCACCCCGATGATCTATATTGTTCATACCTATGCCCATTTTTTGGTTCAGTCACCATCTTTCATCCAATTTCTTCCCCGCAAATCACAGTTTGAGTTTCGTCACATTTACATCATGCTAAATCCCTATCTTTTGCTGGGCATCTCGCCATTTCCATGCGTCTTCCATCCAATTTCATCCCAAGTCCCAGCTGCAAAGTCCCCAAAGGCAGTCCGACATCACCATCCCCACCTGCAGCTCTGAAGAACCACACCCGAGGCCGAAACTCACACGCTGCGCTGGATTCACGGGCGACGCCTCGGAGCTGGGTGCACCGGAAACTGGCCAAAGTCGGGTCACAGTGCACTGTAGCCATATGCCAAGAGAAAACAGATGGAGGTTTCTTAAAGTGGGGCATTACCCCCCCAAGAATGGCTATGAAATGGGGAAAATGATGATAATCCATGATAATCCATTGGAATTGGTGGTACCTGATTTTCAAAACAACGATGGGGTCACTGCCATCCTCCCAAATGTGGCGACCTCCGCCAGCGGACTGGTCGCAGTTTGCCTCAGTGGAACCCGGCGGAGCTAAGTTAGTTTATAGCTGGCCGGGTTAGTTATGGTTTATGGTAGATATATCGGACTAGCTCATGGGATACTATTTTATAAACCAATTTATAACTCGGGGCACCACCGTGTAAAACAAATTTGCTCACCTTATCTCAACTTCCGAAACGGGTCTGGAAACAGCTGGAAAAAAACATCACATCCAGGCAAAGAACATGGTCATGGGTCGAAGCCACATAAACACCACAAGTGAGCCAAATCGAAAAAATGCATCGGCATGGACATGGAGCCTGAAAATATCTGAAAACTACCCGGTCACGCCGTGTCAGGTGGCCTGTGGGCGGCGACCGCACTTACCCTCCGGTCCGGTAATTTAACATATCAATGGAAAATGGATGAAGAAAGGTCTGTTTACAAATAACTTACTATTAAATTGACCTTTAGAAATGGTGATTTTCCATGGCCATGTTAAATTACCAGAGGCTGTTAAAAAATGATGTCTCCAGACTCAAAACAGTCTTGCACTTCTCAGACCTGCAACGGCCCAAAAAATCTGGCCACATGGCCTTCCTCTATGCCAATCTTGAATCCCCTGCAACAATTGTTACCTATTACTCTAATACCTATTATATAATATTATATACAGCTAGTTGAAAATATAGATCCCCATTGCAAAGAATGAAACATTCCCCTGGGGGTAAACTAACGATGTGGAAAACCCATCCTTTCCACAGGAAAATGATCTACAGGGTGCCCATCCTTCTCCCTAGGTCTCCCATGGCGCCAGGGCGCAAGGCTTCGTAGAGGATGACAATGGGCGGAGCTGTACGCGTTGGTATCACGGCATTTGGGACATTCGCCTCGTCCAAGGGGATTATCAACGCTCAGATTTAAGTATCATTATCCAGCCAGCGTGACTGCACACACATACAAATGCTATACACACATATGTGTAATATATATATATATATATAATTTATCTATTGATATGTGTGTGTAGGCTAATGATAAATACATAAAAGTTATATGTATATATGATTATATGTATGGTTCTGTGGTGCAGTATGGACCTACGAGACAAAATCGAACCGAGAGTGAGAATTAAAATGTAACAACAACAACAAAAAAAAACAACAACAACAACAACAAAAAACAACAACAATGACAATGACAATAAACTGAAATATAGCGTGCTGAAATATAGAGATGGTATCAACTGCTTCCAGGTCACAGTGTAATGCCTGATCGATCCTGGTGCGGCGCAAAAAAAGGAGACTGCTAAAGATTTCTTGCGCTAAGCTTATGAACAGATATTTATCTATCTATAAATAATTATAATACATATATATATATATGTGTGTGTGTGTGATTGTGTATATAATATAGTATAATAATATATATATATGTGTGTGTGATTATATGTGTACAGTATGTATATAAATATATATGTATGTATATTGCGTGTTAAAAAATATGCCGATACATACCGATACCATGACAGACATAACCAATTAATAAAACCTCTTCATCCTACCCGCTCCTGGTGACATGGCATATTCTCTGCTCATTTGCTCAGCCTTTTGCTGCGCAGGGCTGCAAATTTGTAGGAACCTGGGGAAGCCATTGATAGATTCACTGCTAGGCAATCAGGATCTTCTACACTTCTAGGGGCACAACTTGCTGGAGGGGAAGCACTACTATGTATCCGTCATTAATTATCCTGCCCGGCTTGCAAGTGGCACTCCACGCTGGTGATTTGTGTCGGAATATTGTTGCATTTCAACGCATCTTGACCCTTTGCCATCAACCTAACACCCAGGAAACAAAGGTCCGCAAGAAGGCTCAAGACCGTCAACCTCTACCAATCCGTTAGGCGACAAGCCAAGTTGACAGTCATTCAGATCCCAGCCATCAGGGGTTGCAAATGTGTTCATCGCCGACACCCCCAGAACAAAGAATACTACAGTATATAATGCTTGTGCAAACATCCCAGCTACAAATAGAATCCAGAGGAGTTGCAAATCTTATATCATCATCATTTCCCTCCCCCGAACCGCAACACAAAAATAAAAGCACACCAACATCGACATCGAACATCCCGCAAAAACATGAAAAAACAACGATCATTAAAACAACCAAATGGGCGTAAATCAAGCAAGCCGCGACATTGGCAAAGGCAAACATGCATGGGTTTTCATTGAATTGGGCACAACCCGCCAGCCCCGAGATTGCTTACACGGGTGACCGCGGCGGGACGCCACCAGGGACGCCAAGATTGAACCAAAAATGCAGTCTGCAGGCGGCAGCACGATGTGAGGTGTCAATCATTCTTAAAGGATGTTTCAGTCAAGTTTTTTTCCTGAGATGCATATGTCCTGTTTAAAATTGAAAGGTTGCATCACCATTTGCCAAGGAGACTGGCCGGGGTCTGGAGGCCTAATCTTAAGTCTTCAATTGTCTTCTTAAAGTTTCGAACCTTGAAATGGTAGAAAAGTGGTGTCCTGGGGTATTGGCAAGCCCAAGGCTGAAACCCATAATGAACCAAACTCAATTGGGTCCAGTTGCCACATCACATGAAAATCAAGTTTAATAATTGGTTAATATTGATTACACTCCCGGGAACAAACGTGTCTCAGGCTACCGTTTCAGGTATCAACTAACATGTCCACTTTATATCGGCGTTTTCCTGGGGAGTGCATTGCAACTTTTTTTTAACACATTGACCCAAAAACAGCTAACATGTCTCAGTTCCTGCAATTGGGGCCCTTGGATTTCGACCTTGATCTGGGATATGTTAGCTATTTTTGGGGGATAGATTCAGCCAATAACCACTCACATATCTCAAAACCACATCCTCTGAACAACACGGACACGTTAGGTGGGCGCTTTCCGTGGCTAGTCATCCAACCCTTACTAAATGCAACTGGTTTTTGGAATGCACCCCCACCCCAATCTTCTTGCCCACCCACGAGCATCATCTATGAGGTGCTCTTCCGGAAGGAGTTGGGGCCCTTTTTTTCTCCACCGTTTTGTTATCAATGCAGTCTTTGATTTGAGCCCTATTGGGGTCTGGAAATAAGGATGCTGGGGCGTCCGGGGCGGTAGTCTTCTGGCAATTTCCCGGGAACCCCCAACTTTTCCACTAACGTGTCCGGTGTCCATTCTGGATTTTCAGCTAACATGTCTCAAGTATAGGGCACTTATCATAGCCTATGCTCACAGCAGCTAAAGTATCCAAAGAAAAATCCACAAAAAAAGTGGATACGTATCTCGGGCTACCGTTTCAGGTATGAACTAACATGTCCACTCGGTACCGGCGTTTTCCTGGATTTCCTGGGGAATGCATTGCAACTTTTTTGGGGACCATTGACCCAAAAACAGCTAACATGTCTCAGTTCCTGCAATTGGGGCCCTTGGATTTCGACCCTGATCTGGGATATGTTCGCTATTTTGGGGGGATAGATTCAGCCAATAACCACTCACATATCTCAAAACCACATCCACTGAACAACACGGACACGTTAGGTGGGCGCTTTCCGTGGCCAGTCATCCAACCCTTACTAAATGCAACTGGTTTTTGGAATGCACCCCCAATCTTCCTGTCCACCCACGAGCATCATCAATGATGCGCTCTTCCGGAAGGAGTTGGGGCCCCTTTTTTCTCCACCGTTTTGTTATCAATGCGGTCTTTGATTTGAGCCCTATTGGGGTCTGGAAATAAAGATGCTGGGGCGTCCGGGGCGGTAGTCTTCTGGCAGTTTCCCGGGAACCCCCAGAGGGGGGGACAACTTTTCCACTAACATGTCCATTCTGGATTTTCAGCTAACATGTCTCAAGTATAGGGCATTTATCATAGCCTATGTTCACAGCAGCTAACGTATCCAAAAAAAACCACAAAAAAAGTGGATACGTGTCTCGGGCTACCGTTTCAGGTATCAACTAACATGTCCACTCTGTACCAGCGTTTTCCTGGATTTCCTGGGGAATGCATTGCAACTTTTTTGGGGACCATTGACCCAAAAAACAGCTAACATGTCTCAGTTCCTGCAATTGGGGCCCTTGGATTTCGACCCTGATCTGGGATATGTTCGCTATTTTGGGGGGATAGATTCAGCCAATAACCACTCACATATCTCAAAACCACATCCACTGAACAACACGGACACGTTAGGTGGGCGCTTTCCGTGGCTAGTCATCCAACCCTTACTAAATGCAACTGGTTTTTGGAATGCACCCCCAATCTTCCTGTCCACCCACGAGCATCATCAATGATGCGCTCTTCCGGAAGGAGTTGGGGCCCCTTTTTTCTCCACCGTTTTGTTATCAATGCGGTCTTTGATTTGAGCCCTATTGGGGTCTGGAAATAAGGATGCTGGGGTCCGGGGCGGTAGTCTTCTGGCAGTTTCCGGGGAACCCCCAGAGGGGGGGACAACTTTTCCACTAACATGTCCATTCTGGATTTTCAACTAACATGTCTCAAGTATAGGGTATTTATCATAGCCTATGTTCACAGCAGCTAACGTATCCGAAAGAAAACAAAATCCACAAAAAAAGTGGATACGTTTGTTCCCTAAGATTAATGTTGATTATTGTTTGAGCACTGTAATGTTACATTGTAGGTTTTGAAGTTTGCAATCCTAGGGCCCTCACCATCCAGGACTCCATGCTCGATCAATGAAAATCATGGATTTCAAAGACTTGTTTTCGAGTTTTGAAACACAAGATGCTCCACTCAAAGTCAACCTGGGACAATCATCAAACATGGCAACCCAAAACAATGTCCAAAAGAACATCCATCTTCCAACATCTTCCAACCCAAGTGTTGTGTCATTGTTTTGGCGTTTCACGTTGGTTGTTCCAAATTTCCCACCTTAACTCATTGATTTCCTTGGGCCGCAAGAATGTCAAATCCGAAATGCTCAAGTTTTCCCCATAACGTCGAACTGACATCCCAATCCATTCGAGGCCTGGAAAAATGCATCTGTTGATGTTGGCAGCGACATGCTGAAATTGTTTGCTCTTAGAAGTCGATTTCAAATTAAAGAAAGAAAGTAGACGTGCCCAGTTCGCTTCGATCTCTGAACCCTTCACCTTGGGAGGTAAATGCTCAAATGGCATGGACGTTCGGGTTTTCGCATAGTTTCACCTATAACAGTTCTGAGCACCACAAACTCGATGGCCCTCCGTATTGTCAACTGTAGATTCAATCAGTTCAGCCATGTGTCTACAGCTCGGTACCTCAACCAGCCATCTCAAAATAAGCGAAAGAACCCTTGGAATCGCCATGCCAGATATGAATAGATATGCCGCTATGCCAGGTGGGATGGAACGGCTGACCGAAATCTTCGACATTGCTGATGACAATTGTCTTGTAATCATACCCTGAAAATCATTCAAGGCATGGCCGATCGACCATGACCAACCTAGGTCCACAACAGGTTCAGCCATGCATCCATCCCCTGCTTTGTTCCTTCAGCCCAAGATCCCCATTGTATGCCTCCTAGTCCTTAAATTCATTTAAATTCCACATTTGATTTCCAATTTCCAGCACAATTGCACCGCCAAGAAAATAGAGAAACGTAGAATTCTACCCCCTCTGTAGCAAAATGGATATTTTTTGCAGGATCTTGTTGGTGGTTGCCATAATTTTTCCCTTCAGGGGCCATCAGTGACGCACAGTTTTTCTCACTCCTCTGGCGCGTCGCCAAAGTCGCTGGAGCCACTGCCCGCTTCGCTGCCCAGCAGGAAGGCGTAGGTCACGTTTTTCCTCGGCACCGAGGGGCAAAAAAAAAGGGCCTCCATGATGAAGCATCACCTGGGCATTTTTGAAAATGAAAGATTTTGTCTGGTTTAGACATGGCCATGACAGACCCCGCTGCTTTCGAGTATTTCACCGTATTTTGAATCCTGTTTCAATTTAGGGTTACTAAGGGTGAGCAACGGCTGCTTCATCCAAAAATCATTATCCCGGCAAGAGACCCCAAACAGTGTGCTTAAGGACATGCAGGGTAAAGTCAAGGGAGGAGAAACAGAAGAGGAGACATGAATCCAGTTGGGTTTTCAGGTGTGGTCACGGAACGGAGCTATGCTGGCAGGACAAGAGCGACCCGAAGAGTGAAAAAAAAGATACCAGGTCAGATTCTGCAAGCTCCTGTAGAAGAGGCTCTCTGTAGAAGCTGCTGTGCAAGATCCCTGTGTGAGGCTATCTGTACAAGGTGCCTAAAGGAGATCTCCACAGAAGATATCTCAAAGGAAGATCTCTGTTCAAGCTATCTAGAAATGATCTCCGAGGAAGACCCATGCTCTCGTCACCAGGTCTCTGCACAAGATCTCCATAAGAGGTCTCCTGGCAAGATCTCTGTACAAGATCTCTATAAGAGCTCTCTCTGCCCAGATTTCTTTAAGATATCTATAAGAAATATCTCGGCAAGATCTCTTTATGAGATCTCTGTACTAGCTCTCTATAAAAGCTCTCTAAGCAAGATTTATGTAAGAGACCGCGTGGCAAGATCTCTGTAAGGGGTCTCTTAGCAAGATCTCTTAACAAGATCTCCAAAAGAGGTCTCTTATCAAGATCTCTGCATAAGCTCCCTGTCCTTTGGCAAGATTCTGTATGGGATGTCTCGTTTTGCGCGAGCCTGCGCGGTCGAAATACACATGAACATTTCACAAGAGCCATTTTGTGTGGAAATTGACATGAAAAGTGCCGGACGCTAATCCCGCGACACCCGTTTTGTGCGAGCCTGCACGATCAAAATGCACATGGGCTTTTCAAAAGAGCTATTTTGTATGGAAATTAATAGGAAAATCGCCGCGGACACCTCCGGGGACATCGTTTTGTGCGAGCCTGCGCGGTCGAAATGCACATGGACATGTCACAAGAGGCATTTTGAATGTCGCACACGTCGCCCACGGCCATCGTTTTTCCCGAGCCTGCGCAATCGAAATGCACATGGACATATCACAAGAGCCAGTCTGCATGGAAATTTACGGGAATTGGCCGGACACGGATGAATATCTCGATTGAACACCGGGCCTCAACTGTTATCAGTGTGGCCACACTGTTTGAGCAACGGCTGCTTCATCGAAAAAAATATAAAAGGCCTGCTCACACGACATGTTCTATGATATAAATATAAACGTGTTTGCTGGCAAATTTGGAGCTAGCTGTTTCCCTTGCACGTCTTTGCGAACTAGATTTTGTTCTATCATGCATGTATCCGCGCGCATTGAAAAGAAATTACTGTTTTTTGGATTCCATTCATAATGTTCATAGTTTCAAATCCCATCGTTGCACCCCAGTTTCCCATGATCCATTCATAATGTTCATCGTTTCACATCCCATCCTTGCACCCCAGTTTCCCATGATCCCTCTGGATCACCTCAGCTTTCTGCAGGACTTCTTCTCGCCGATCCCTGAAGTGCAAGGCGTGCGGGTTGCGGTCAACCACCAAGACAAGCGCGTAAGGGTTGCAGCTGGGCAGTGCGGCTACGCGTTGCCGGAAAGCTTCCCGGAGACGTTGCCAAAACCTGATGGATCGATGGGTCTGATGAATGTGATCAGCATTACTCTTTTGGTGGAAAAAACAGGGCAATGATATATTGACAAGTCTACAATATAGCAATGGCTTGGAACAGTCGACGCCATCAAACAATATGCCGAATCAAATTGCGCGCAGTGATGAGGGTTCAAGTGTAGAAAATAAAGATCTCTTCGAACATTAAGGGAACAACAATTCGATGTAAACCCCAGCCTTATACCCACCTATGGGTCCGACGTGCCAGAAAAACCGCAATGACAAATATTCCTACCACCACTACCACCCCTACCACCCCTACCACCCCTACCACCCCTACCACCACTACCACCACTACCACCACTACCACCACTACCACCACTACCACCACTACCACCACTACCATCACTACCGCTACTACCGCTACTACCGCTACTGCTACCCCTACCGCTACTACCGCTACTACCGCTGCTACCGCTGCTACAGCGCCTATGACTACTAACACTACCCCCACTACTCCCATTACTACTACCACGACTGCTGCTGCGTCTACTACCACTACTACTATACTGCTAATGCTGCTACTACTACTACTACTACTACTACTACTACAGCTGCTACTACTGCTACTACTGCTACTACTGCTACTGCTACTACTACTGCTACTACTACTACTGCTACACTACTTCTACTACTACTACTACTACTACCACTACCACTACCACTACCACTACCACTACCACTACCACTACCGCCACCACCACCACTACCACTACCACTACTACCACTACCACTACTATTGCTACTACTGCTACTACTGCTACTGCCACAACCACCACCACCACCACTACTACTACCACCACTTCTTCTACTACTACTACTGCTACTACTGCTACTACTGCTACTACTACTACTGCTACTACTACTACTACTACTACTACTACTAGTACTACTAGATTCGTACTAATACTAAAATTGAATATACTAGTAGTGCTAGTAATGCTCTTACTATTACTTCTATTAATCTTATATATTACTTGTATTACTCTTATTACTCTTATTACTCTGATTACTCTTATTACCCTTATTACTCTTATTACTACTACTACTACTACTACTACTACTACGACTACGACTACTACTACTACTACTCCTGCTACTACTACTACTGCTACTACTACTACTGCTGCTGCTGCTACTGCTACTACTGCTACTGCTACTACTGCTACTGCTACTGCTACTGCTACTACTACTACTACTACTACTACTACTACCACTACTCCTACTCCTACTCCTACTCCTACTACTCTTATTACTATTATTATTACTCCTCCTGTTCCTCCCGTGATTACTTCGACTTCTTTTGCTACTCTACAAAATGTGATAAAACGTATTTTGAATATCTGTCTTAGAATCAAATCATCAAACAATGACTGATAGAACCAATGACAACATCAAGTTGGCCCATCAAAGGTGTTCAACGCGAGTGCCCTTCCGAAATCAAACCAATCACCACAACTGCTCCCCCAAGGGATAACGGCACCATCGACGTGCCCACACGACCCAATCTGATCCGTCCAAAACCCATCGGATTTTGTAGCAAAGGAACAGTTTGGATGCAAAGTTCATGGCCCAACCGATTAAAACAACGTCTGCAGAGAAGGTGCAGTCTTCCAATATCATGTCCTGCCAGACAAGAAGGCAAATTTTGTGAGGCAAAACTATAAAAAAAAAACTGTCTTGTCAACCTGAAGCAGTTCGGAAAAGAGCTTGGCGGAATGGCACGCAACTATGGACAGCACATATATTTCCAACGATCTATCGTAAAAAAAAAAGGGATGCGAAGATTAAGATATTACTTTTATCCAAGGACTCACGCACGCTAACCAAATTTTGAAATCTTGTTGATCATCCGTACCCGGGTGGTCAAAACATGCAAAATAGGAACTTAATGGAACATATATGACATGAACAGGAAACCACTGGTTTGGGATATCCAGAAACAATTTCTGAATTCACCCCATCAATTCCGTTCAGACTAAATCATACCCCGGCATACCCCAGCCGCCCGCGGTCCGACATAGATGCGGAACGCCGAAAGTTGAATCCCAATTTTTCGCTGCACCAAGCCTGATTGCTGCGCGAACTACACTTTGCACTGAAATGTAGGACTCCGACGAAACTTCTGCTAAAACGTTCCCTTTTAGCCAAAAACAAATCTGTTAAATGAATCATCTTAAAACATCTTATTATGCCATCTTAGAACCAGATTTGTAAGATGATCATTCTGGAGTTCGTTCAATTTCTTAACGAAGTCCAGCGCTGAAAGATATCGCCGAAACACCCATTCACTGACAGGATCCAAGATGGTCGCCTCGATCTTTCTCGCCTTGCTGGACTCCTGGCCAACAGCACGTCTTAATTACATTAGGCTACCAGTGGCTGCCTGGGCAAAAACATAAACCGCAGATTTTCAATGACATCCAACCGCAAAACATCACCCAGTCTCTAGATTTCAACACATTTACCCGATAAAACAACTGATCTGATCTGACCTTGTTGACCCCGAGCCACTCGTGGAAGAAGCTGCAGGCGCCGGCAGCACAGCATCCAGGCCCACCGGCCAAATCAACCACTTGCACCGCAGCCTGCCTAGACTGCCGAGCTTCAGCGGCCAAAACGTCCCAAGTTGAAGGTAACCCCTTGCCCCTTAACGGCACGTCCTCATCTTTTCAGTTAGGGATATTGGGGATGGGGTGATGGAATTGTGCCTATGGGAAAGGGAAAGGGAGAGGGAAGAAAAACTGTCATGAGTCATGGCCCGCTCGCTTTGCCTATGATCTTGCCTAACCAATATTGAATTTGGATCGTCGCCAATCCAGTTATTATAAAACAAAACTGTCATGCCAGTCCAATTCCGCATGATGCCACATTATGTCCCAAACTTAAGAAATAATACTTTTAGGCCACAGAATATGCGAACACTCCTTTGGAGAGCTTTGCCAGCCTCCAAATGTGTGAGAAAAAAATCTGCCATGGGGTAAGTTGCCCATCACCACGCGGCAGAGCAGCTGCGTCAGAGCTACCAAACAGTTGCTGCAATTGGCACAGCTCTGCTTTCACCACATTTGCCCTCACAAGGAAATACTCTTGGATGTAAGCAACTTGCAGGCGGTGTTGTTTGTACACGTGCGCCTTGCAAATTGCAAATCAGCATCCATCCCCGCAAACAAAACCACGACAACGCATTCATAGAACTCGACACCCCCACGGCCTTTAGATTTTGAATAAAAAAATTGTTAAGCATCAAATGGGTGTGCCCGCCACGTTTTTCCCACCAGTCTCAATGCATGTGCACGTCCGCCAGCAACCACTTTGGCCGTAAATTCATCATCCGTGAGGTTTTCCATTCCGTTTTGCCAGAAAGCTGGCCCATGTCGAGATTCCTCAACAACTTTTATGACGCGAGTCAACGGGACACGGGCGATCGTAGAATGCGGAAAAAAACAACCCTGAGGATCCGATATTGAAAAAATCAATCACTGTTTTGAAAGAAAAAGTGATGTTCAATATTATTGAAAATGGTTGAGCTCACAGGCTTGAAATTCAATACTGTGATCAATCCTGATAAAGATCTGATAGATCTGGCATTGATCTTGATATTGGTCTGGTATTGGTCCTGATATCGATCTGATATCGATCTGGTATTGATCTGGTATTGATCGGGTATTGGTTTGGTACTGATCTGATATTGTTTGATTTTGATCCTGGTGCGCGCTCTGGTGATTGTTTTGCGCTCTGAACTCGCTGTGAACTCGCTGCCGGTGCTGTTTTGCGCTGTAAACTCGCTGTGAACTCGCTGTGGGGGCTGTTTTGCGCTGTGAACTTGCTGTGAACCCGCTGTGGGGACAGTTTTGCGCTGTGAACTCGCTGGTGAACTCGCTGTGGGGGCTGGCATTGCCATTGGCTTGATATTGATCTGGTATTGATCTGATCTTGGTCTGGTATTGATCACGGTATTGGTCTTATATTGATTTTGATATTGGTTTGATGTTGGTTGGATTTTGAAAAGCTGATCAATCCTCAGGACTGAAAAAAACAGCTTTTACGATTGAAAAAAAACAAGTTCAATAATATTGATCAAGATTGATCAGGATTGATTTTTTCAATCCCGGATCCTCAGGGAACCACCACAACCCAAACACACAAAAAGGGTCAGTTTTTTAGCATTTGACCGCATTTCTGACCAAACGCTATCAAATCAATTCTATCTTCGGATCAATGATTGGAAACGGTTTTGTCTTAATGCTAGTGTCCTTGCAAATTTTTTTGGAAATCAACAAAACATACGTATCCAAACAAGATAATGACTGTTGCCAACATGTGCCAACATTCTGTCAAGCAGAACCTTCCGAATCCCTGCCGACAAGACCATGCCAGGGCTCTAGGTCGTCTATCACTTTCTTCCCTTCCTCACAATTTATGTCGCTCAATCCTCGCAATGTCTCCAAACTCTTTGCATCTTCTACGCTCATTGCACCCTGCAGCATTGCACTTGCTCGTTCCTTGGTCCAGCCGTGCAAAATCGCAAGCTCGGATGGCCACAAGGCCCCGAATCTTGCCAACATTCCGAAGGAACCTGAAAAACGCTTAATTAATAACCGCTTTGATTAAGGGCACTTGTAAATTTAGATGTTTCAACACTTGGAACATAGAACCATATAATTCCTGCAGAGATCGTGCGTGTGCACAAGTGGCGTCAGCCCAGCTATCTTCACTGACCCACCCCATTCCACACAACCAAAATTGACATTAAATATGGTTAATCAAAATCGTGCCGCAAAACACGTTCAAACTTGGTAAACCAAACCAAACCGAAGTGCCAGATCCACGTTCGTCAACGGTGTTGGATTGGGTTTTGGGCGCTTCATCGCCGCCATCACGGACAGCCGATTTGGTTTCGCACGGTCTGCCGGTCTGCTGTTTGTAAGGACAACGTCTTTGAGAATTGCCAAGTTTGGCAACAAAGAACGAAACAAACAAAAACAATACATTTTATATCGTATTAGTTCGGGCAATGATGGATGGTTATTTCACAAAACGAAATGTCTTAGACCATCTACTGGCCTCTATGTCTGTGGTCAGCATACCCCCACCTCCAGGCATGTAAGAGTCCATGTCGCAGTCCACGTCGCAGTCCACGTAAGAGATCATGTGAAAGACATGGCCCATAACAAGCCAAAATAAACCCATAATTGAAGCCCATCATGCCTTTTTCAGGGGGAATACCCCTGAACCGTTCATTCTCCGTTCTGAACCGTTCTGAACCGTTCAGAAACCTTTACATGGGTTGTTACGTGAGTTCTTACGTGAGTTCTTACGTGAGTTCTTACGTAGGTTTTTCATGCCTTTTTCAGGGGGGAATACCCCTGAACCGTTCATTCTCCGTTCTGAACCGTTCTGAACCGTTCAGAAACCTTTACATGGGTTCTTACGTGAGTTCTTACGTGAGTTCTTACGTGATTTCTTACGTAGGTTTTTCATGCCTTTTTCAGGGGGAATACCCCTGAACCGTTCATTCTCCGTTCTGAACCGTTCTGAACCGTTCAGGGGGGAGGTAAAAACAGCCAAAAACCACGTAAGAAACCACGTAAGAAACCAGGCCAAAAAAACAGTCCTTGGAAGGGGTTGGACAGGTTAGGTTCTCTCCCAGTGTGTCACGGGCTAAACCAGTGGCCACTGACCACGTGCGCCTTGCCATAGCCATAACTAGGCTCACAGTCACCCATTTTCATGAGCCACACCACTCACATGGGCTTATGAGTGAACATCAACTGACAATACAACGCCACATACATACAATACAAAGATTGTTCGAAGGCCCATTATTTACATGACTTCTTACGTCAACTCTTACGTAGAAAAGACCCATCTCTTACGTCCACCTCTGGGAGACGTCAGAAACCAGCCAATAAAGAGGCTAATGGCAGCTCTAAGAAATGTCCAATGATGCTCACGCGGGCCTTTTGCATTGCCTATTTGTACGCATCGAAACATAGCAAAAATCTACGTTTGAGCTTGCAAACAACGCAAACACAAGGAAGAAATCGTGGCTGCACAACCGACACAGGCACCCATCCCCGTTGAAATAAACAGGGGGTACTTGGAACAACCATTTTACACTGTAGAATGGGAAAAGCCTGTAGTATGGTTATTTTTTGACAAAAAACAGTTTTTTACTGTAGAATGGTTATACCAGAGTTGCTGTAAAATGGTTAGCTCAAACTTTAAACCATAAAATGCAAAATGGTTCCCCACTGTAAAACGGATTTACCAACATTTGAAAAATCAAGTGGAATATCCCAAACTTAACATCTTGTTTTTTGGGGGGGCCAACCCTGCCCTACTGTAAAATTGTAAGTCAGGTCTTCTAATGATATTCCATTAAAATGGAAATTCTTGGAGCTCAGCGTTGCATAGCTTGACTATGCTTGCTCAGAGTCCGAGACTTTGTCTCCATTTGTCTAATTGTTCCTATGCATCGCTAAAGTATGCTAAAGTATGAATGCAAATTAAAAGCGTTGGAAATCAATGAAAATCAATGAGAACCTATCAACATATGTAAGTTTTTCCGTCTTAAACCCACATGTGCTGATCCCACAAATGTGGGAAAAGCCCGGCGGTGGCTCTTCCTTCTTTCTGCGCGGCATCTCTACACACAGCTCTTTACACAGCTCTGAGCCAGTAAGTTAGAGGCGGCGAGAGGGTTAGTTTTTCAGAACGACCCCTCAAAAAATGGTCAAAAATACTGGTATTTACAGTGTTTTGTGACCAGAAGTTATTTTAGAGGAAAAATCACTCCCCAACATGTTTCCCTTCATGATCATGGCAGGCAGGCCCTTATTGCAACTTCCAGGCCTGATGGTCTACTATACGCAAAATCTTAGTATACCATATATCTATGTTTGGTTCTCTCTCACTTCATGGACTTCATCACTTTCATCACCTTCATGGACTTCATAACCTTCATCGCTTTCATGACCTTCATTGATCCTGGTTTCATAGTTTTCTTGCCCTTCACTTTGTTGCAAGCATACGGTTTGGTTGCCCCTTTGCCCTTGTAGACCTTGTACTGGTTGAGGTGGTACGTGTCACCGCAAGCTACCAAATCATTGTGCTGTTTGCAGAACAAGAGTACTGCAAATCGATGCCGAAGGGGACGCATGTCATTCAAGACTTTGTTGTATCCTCTAAACCAAGAAAAGGTTTGCTCAGCTATGGAAGTCTTCAAGTTCTTGATGCGTTTCTTGAGGCGGGTCTTGGATCGGGGGTTGCATGGGCAATTCTTGGTGTGACCATAAGAGTGGAACGTGTCCAAACTAAAGTACTTCAGCTGCTCCAGTCCTGGTGTCTTGACAGCCGATGGCATGTAGTGGCAGGCTCGGTCCATGACAAGGAGATCAATGTTGGGGTACTGGGGCAAGATTTTCAGCAAGGACTGTGTGACAACTTTGTTTCCCTCAGGTTCATCTTGACTAGTGACTCCAAGGATTCGGCCTGAGACTGGGTCAACCACCATGAACCATGACCATGACCACTAAGACTTTGTGATGACCATCTGCAACCACACCGCTGACTTTCTTGGGGCGCAAGGGAGGTAGGAGATGTTCATGGCAATGAGCATCATATTTCATCAAGGTGCTTTCGTCGATTTCTTTCCCAATAACTATGCTTGTGTGTTTGCCAAGCACTTCCCATTCCAAACCCACCATGTAATAGAAGAACCCATCATAGTAGAGTTCTCGGGCCTTTGTGTGGAGAGGAGGGGTCTCATCAGCAAGATTGTCGAAGAAGGTTTGTTCATATGCAAAGCGAATTCCCCTACCAGTGCTGCAACATCTAAAGAACAATGAGGCATGGTACTTCAAGAACCTGATTGTGAAGCCAACCTTCATGTTGATGAACAAAACTTCGTCCAAGGCCATGTCCGAGATCTTGGTTGTGTTGATCAATTGCCCATCGCGGTTGCGGAAGTTTGGTCCATAGATCGTTTTGCACTGAGGGCACCTTTTTGTTTCTACCACTACCTCATTCCTCCCAATGAGATCGAAGGAGGCAGCTGAGATTGTATGATGAGGAGCCATTTCCACGAAGAACCACAGGTACAGAATGACAAGGGACTGGTGTGCATAGGTTTCTCCGACATTGGGGTGGCTGGACGTTTCTTAACAAGCATTGTGAAAGCACCCTACGTAAACTACACCAGGACAAACTGCTACGGAATTAGACACAGAAATTTGCTGAGTTTGCCGCAAGTTGCAATGCATAGTCATGCGTCGTACTAGCAAAGCAGGCAACACAGCACACTAGCAGAAAAGAAAAGCTACGCATACGCATTCATTTTCCTGTGTTTGGGTTGGGAAGTGTTCAGGCATGTAGTGTTCAAAACCGCCGGACTTACATCTGTATACTTTGACCTAAGATAGCCCACTCAGAAGAGCTCAGGAGGAATCACCACCATCTACACCATAACCATGGTTGAAGACATCCTCTTCATTCTCAATCATTTCCATCTCCAAGGGGGGATTGGTGGGAGGTTCATCCTCATCTTCAGACACTAGATCAATGAGGCCATAGTTCATTGGTCTGGTTGTGGTTGCGTGAGTTTCCTCCTTGATAGCGGGCAAGGATTCTGGGACCTTTCTTGCCTTCTTGGGAGGGGACATGTCCAAGTCAGTGCAAGCACCAGGGATGCCATCACGCAAAGGCTGGCGAGAGAAGGAGCTTTCTCGTTTGATGGGTGGTGCGGGGCCAAATTCTTCAAGATGAACTTGGATAGAAACTGTGGTCTGGCCTGAGAAAGGAGAAGTGATGGAAGTTTCTGTGGGCATAGGCGGTTTGTTTTCACCTTTGTTGTCCATGATGCTCCTCATCCAGGCTTCTTCCCACTGAAGATGTTTGTGATGGTTTTCAGAAAGATCACGGTTTCCTTTCCTATAGGCCATGTACTTCACCCCACCAGACCTACGAAGCAAGGACTTGGCATCATTGAGCTTGATACATTCTACACCAACCTCTGCCTCTGTAGCAGGCCAGTAGTAGATGAAATTGTCTGTGATGATGATGATGATGCAAATTCGTTTGAGCACAGCCTTGATGTCACTCAAACAAGAGCCTTTCATCCAAGCTGGCTCAAGCATCTGCATGAATTGAATGTGGGTGATCACCATGGATCTACCGGATGGTTCAGCGCTAAGATCAACATCATTGGAGATGTAAAGGCGGGGTTGGCCCTGGGGGAACTTTGCAGCACCCCACCGCTCTTTGGTGAGGACTGTGTTTCCTACATCGCAAAAGCCCTTCAACTTTCTGATGGGTTGTTCTGGCAATGACCCATCATCAAAAATGTCTGGACGCTCTGGACGACCAGCCTCACCTCTAAAGAAATCAAATTCACTGGCTTCACGGAATCCTGGGATATGGTTGGATTTCAATTTTCGGATCCAGTACCTAGACATTGCCATAGCAATAGTTCTACCCAAGGGTGGTTTTCCGACATTTGAGACTCCATGCATACCAAGAGCTTTGTCAGTGAAAGAAGGGAAGAGTTTCTCCAAGATCATGAGGACTCCGGGCTCAACATCAACCAAAGTAAGAGGAAAATCATGAACAGGTAAGGCCAAAACACCATCATTCATGAGGTTGCGCAAGGCCTCTTTGATCAGACGTTCCGGCCATTTGCCAACTGGGTTGTCCTCTGAAATAAACTGCTTTGAGATCCAACGCAACCTTACTAGCGGGTTCCCTTTCAAAAAAGGCGGTTCAAAAACATGAAAGTTGAAAGTGTAGCTTGCTAATTTACCACTTTGAACTGATTTTTAACAAGTGTCCTTAGCAACCCGTGTTTGATCGAAAAAAAAGTGTCTCCAGGACACTTGTTGTAAGTCAAGAAACACCAGTTAAGACAAAAAGGCCAAATCCAAAACTAAGTGAAAAATGTC